ATTGGGAAATTGGTAATTGGGAATTGGGAGGTAGCGTTTTTTTTTTCTTTTTTTACTGGAGCCAAGATCTGTGACTGATTGAAGAGAGAGACTGGGACTGGTTTCTTGGGTTTTTGTGATTTTGCAGATTCACGGTGGAGGTGAAAAAATGAAAGAGAAACCGACATGATTTTTTGTCTCGAATCCCACAGACGGCGCCAAATGTTGATGCACAAAACCAGAGGTTTTGGAACAACGTAAATCCGATCGTGAATCTACATGAAATGTAAATGACACAAGATGTATCGTGGTTCACCCCAAGGTTTGAGCTACGTCCACATTAATTGTATTTATCTAAGAGCATTTGTGAGGGAGAGAATGTGAGAGCTTTGCTCTAGATAGGAGAGGCCTAGGGTTTGTGAAGGTAATGGGGCCCTTTTATAGAATAAGGGCTCATCCCCTAATTACATATTTGCCCATTCCTTTATTACATAATTACATTTAAGTCCTCTGAGTATTTATACGAGGTCTAAATACGAGGCCCTAAATATGGTATAAACAAATTTTAAATCTAGGTTGGATATGGAGTCTCACTTGTTCAAGGAGGAAGGATTGCTTTCAAGGGGGTTTTCCTTTATCTTTAAATGTCTATTCTTAGATGTTGTATCCAATCTTGCGCCATGAGTTGAGCATTGTTTCTGTATCCAGACATTCTATCCTTCATCCGTATATGGAAAGCGGAGGAAGGAGAGCAATTTTGGATAGGGGGTTTGAGTTGTTCTTGCTTTTTGATATAATATTGTCTTCTTTAATACCTATCACTTGTCATGTTTGATTCGAAAGGAAGATGAAATAACCAAATGAGTTATACCTTGTTGAGTTTGGAACTTTCCGAGCAATAGAGGGATTATAGCTTATCTTGTTTGATGTAGGTAATGTTTTGAATTTCGTTGGTTAAGTCTATATAGTGAGTAATGTAACTGGTCCTTCTAGCTGGGGGTTTCCAACTTTAGAGCTAATCTTGCTCCCACTCCCAAGTGATAGTGGGCGCAGAGGAAGTATTGCCTTTGTTTTGTATCTTCAGTAGTCTATATTGAAACTTACCTCCCTTGTAAATGCATGGAAGTGTTAGGAGAATAACTTTGAAGGTTTGGTATCTAGGAATATTGCATGAAATGTTTTACACTTTCCGATGCATTGGGTATATTGAGTTGATAGATTTTGTGAAATTCAGGAACGAGACTAAGTGAAGTCCAGTGGACCTACTTGGTTAGTGAGTGACTTTAACTTATGTGATGTGATTATTACCTTAATTTCTTATATTAATATCATTCGTGAATATAACTTGGTTTTATAATGTGATTATATTGAAATGTGATTTTATATATTTAGCCATAGACCAATGTTTATTAAACATGATTTGGCTCGTGTACTGTTGATGATTGTGATATGTGATTTGACTTGCATATTTGAAAGATGGTTGATTTGCATAGATGGTATGATATGATAAAATGTGAGTGACTTTAATATATGTGATATAGGTGATTTCCCTGTTTTCATAATTATTGTCTTGAGTGGATATGAGATGGTTTATGATTATGTTTCCTATAAAATGTTTAATTTTTATATTTAGCCATCGTTGTAGTTTTATGATGTGGGAATTGACGTGCATATTGGGAATATGGGTTGTTTTGTATGATTAGTATGTTGTGTATGATTACTTTTATGACAATGTGATCCTAGAATCCTATTAGAAGTATGTTGTAGCACTTATATGCTTGTGTGACATATTAGTTGGTGGCCATGAGAAGTGAATATGGGAGGTGACTACGTTGTAATTATAGAGATGATGAGGTTTAGATATACTTGGTACATTCGGTAGGTACCATATCCATATGGATTCCATTGAGTGATGGTTCGGAATCGTATCCTTGTTTGGATTCCGTTGAGTGATGGTCCGAAATCGTATCACTTGACTTGTTGGTTTCTTGGATTTGATATCAGCTTCAGAGATGTAGGCTTGGCTTAACTGTGTCACTCTAGCCTTAGTTTTAATATAATTGTGAGCAAGGGTTTCGAGAATCTTGTGAATTGAATTAGAAAAGCTGTTGGACGTCTGGGTGACTCCTTTAGGATTTTCTATGATTTGATTATGATTTCATAAGTATGAATTTAGAGGATATGGTTATGGTTGTTATTATTTTGGTCAAATGACTTAATTAATGTGGCTAGAGAATGGTATTGTGCTTCGTCGGTTCTTGATATGATATATGTTGTGAATTGCGGTATCATGTTGCGATATAATGACTTATATAAAAGATGGAAGGAGAATCATGATTTTCGGGTGGGTTTGTTATGTAACCTTGAGTCTAGTAATTTCATGCTTGTCAAGTTCTACTGATTGATTGAGAAATGTTATGCCTTTCGGCTTAAACAGACTGTGATTTATGTCGAGTTATAGCAAAAAAGACGAACTACGAATGGCTTGATCCCTAATGAGGGTACGTAGGCAGTCTAACGAGGAGGTTAGATGCAGCCATAAAGTGTACGAAAAATTATCATGCATCTGGATCTTGAATTATATTTGGTACATATGATAAAGGCAGGGTATGTTGAGTTACGGGCATTTAGTGACGTCACGTATTGATCTTGGACGTATGTCGGGATTAGGGCGTGACATACGTTGTACTATTCAGTGGCGAAGCCAGGATTTGTTGAGGGGAAGGGCGAAATTCAAAAGAGTGCAATGTTTCAATCGAAACGGTTGCTTTTACATTGGACAGTGCAAAGTTTTAAGTCAATATTCATAACAGAAAATAGTCTCTTCACCAAAGCGGTTGTAAGCGGTAATATCAAAGCCATATAAGAAGCTTAAATTGGTTAGGATTAGATTCTAAAAAAACGTTAGGTGTCAGTCAGACAGTGGACTGGGACCTAGATTGATTTAAATATATTTCTTTTATCGTGAAATAAGTATTAACAATATTTACATTATTTTTTAAAAATTAGTACAATATTTATAGATAATGTGAGAGTTTAAGATAAATACGCTAGGGGTCTTAAAAAGAGAGAAAAAAATACATACAAGAATAATAAATAATAAAAAAGAGAAATGAATTAACAAACCACAAAAAAAAGGAGTCCAAATCTTTTGCACCTAAAAGAACTATGCCTTTTCTGTGGCATTTCTAAACTCACACACTTTAACTGAGTTAACTCTCCGTTATCTCCTAAATTTAGAAGAAAAAAAAAAGAAAAAGAAAAAAGACCAAGCATCTGAATCCTCATCGGCGAGTCGCCCACAACTTGCAATATTTGATTGACTTCACTTCCCAAATCTCTCTTTGCAAAGAGTTCCTCAAAAACACAAAAGATCTCTAACCCACTCTTTCTCTCACCTATCAGAGAAACCGAACATCAACCCAAAGCTCCAAGTTGAATAAATTGACTCACTGAGCTCCAAAATCCTTGAGAAGCCCTAACGGTTCCGTCACAAAAGTTTATGGAGTCGACCCAGAAGCATGGGTTTGTTCAGATCGGATCTGCAGGACGAAAGATCGATTTTTGGTCCTAGGAAAACCCGATCAAGACAAGTGTCGCGTCGTCGACGACAAATTTTACAATTCCGTCACAAAAAATTGCCTATCTGCTGTTGCTGCACGCAGCAGAACAGATCACCCAACAACACAAATAGAGGATGAACCAGTGGGTTTTCCGGCGAGGAGGGGTGTGGCGAACCCAGCTCTGCAGTGGTGTTTCCCGGCGAGGGGAGTGGCGGCCACCACTCCTCGCCCTCACGTGGCTTCGCCACTGGTACTATTATCACAAGTACCAATCTCACCTTTATGTTATGGTAATATAAAAAAACTAAACAGTTCTTAACGGGTACCCATAAATAACCCAATGAATTGATTTGTTATCTCTAACCATACTCAATAACCCTTGAAAAAGAATAATTACCATCCATTTTTTTTAAGGAAAACTAATGAAAAGAGATTGAAACTTTGAGTTTTAACGATAAGGACAAAATAAAGGGTTAAGTGAATAGTACCAGGATTGATTTTTTAGTGTAAAAATGTGGTTTTTCGTTAAAATGAACAGTATCGGGAGTTTTTCGTTAAAATTCATTTTTTTTTATTGTTTTACACAACAATATATTTCAATAGGTAGAAAACTTGGGCTAAACAACACAATAAGTCATTCATAATAATTTAGTATTAAACTTATCATCCATATAAGTTGCAACTAAAACTTACAAGTGAAGATAACTATTATTAAACCGTAACACCGAGAGAATTACCAACCAGTCTAAAGCATTAGTTTAAACCCACGAAAAGTTACTGTTTATTCAAATTATGAGATACCTCCAAATATAGAACACAGAGGTTTCCGGTGGAATAAAAAATAGTAATTTTTTTTGGTCAGATTTATTAAGTTTTAAAAGATTGATTCCATATTAACACAATTCTAACACAACTGGAACAATCCAAAATAAATGTTACTCGGATATCTTTATCTTTAGTCATGAACCTCTTTTGATTTTTGATTTGCTCAATTTTTAAATTTTCCGACCTAAAACAAGGAAAAAGAAAGGACAAAAAAATAGAAGTACGGTAACTCGAAATCATGATTGATGTTGATCATCCTACTGCCATCCATATGCAATTTGTAAAGTCAAGACTTTGATGGTCCCTAAATCTAACATTTTAATTCAACATATAGCTGTTTCATGTGTCATGTGTGTACAAACTCAGTCAAACTTGGCACCGACGACTTTCTCATACAATAAAGTCTAAAATCATCACCTTGAACCGTTCCAAAACTAGGAAAATAAATAATAAGTATTAAAAACGCATGTTGCCTGTAGTTTAGTTGGTCACAACAATCTGCTCATCCCACTCGAGTTCGAGTCTCTCTTACTATAAATTAAATCAGGCTAAAATATCATCTTATAGCATGTGTTAGTTAAGAAAATTGGCCAAAATATTGTATCCTCATTATTATACTTAAGTTTGAACTTCGCTTTCTTAAACTAGACTGGTTTAAAATATAAAAATATGAAAACATAAAAAAAAATAAAAATTTTATTAATTCTCACGTTCACACACATGACACACCAACAAAGAAAAGCAACCCTTCCCTCCCCATTGTCTTATTGTCATTCTTGGCATTGAATCCTTCGAACTGTATGCTTTTCTTCTTCCGATGGAGGATTTCAGATCCAAGTCATGCAGAGACGGGAGAGACGGGAGGATGCAGATGGAGGTCTACTATGGAGGGAAGCCAGGTGCTCCTCCAGCAAGCATGCAGGATCTCAGAAGTTACAGCTCATATTATGCAGGCTCTTGTGTTTCCCAGCCAAACAACCACCAGATGGTGGTGAAGGATGGGAAGATGAAGAAAGGGAAGAGCAGCCTTGGGACTGCCTCGAAGACCTGGAGCTTGAGTGATCCCGAGTTGCAGAGGAAGAAGCGGGTTGCTGGGTACAAAGTTTACACTGCAGAGGAGAAGATGAAAGGGTCCCTGAGGAAGAGCTTCAAGTGGATCAAGAACACCTGCACCCAAGTAGTCTACGGATGGCGATGATTCGATTAACGGCTACTTTGAGGGTAAAGAAGAAGAAGAAAGAATAATATTATGCATCTGTCTACGAAATTAATTGTAAACAGAAATAGAATTCAATACTTGGATTTATAATTTTTTTTTTAGTACATGGTTTATAACTTCTTTAGCTAAGCAAGAAAACCTTAGTCTACAATGAATGTTTCGGGCTTGATTTGGAGTTGTTTAAGGTTTGTTGTGGAGATATTCTGTTTACTCTGATATACGAGTAGGGGATTCGAACTTGGATGCAAGAGGGCAGGTACATTGTCATGGTAAACTAGTCCGGATCCACTTTGTATGCTTCTGTTTGATGGCCTGGGTTTGATCTGGTCATAATTTTGATTAAACTCAATAGCTTGTGAAGGCTGGTTTCTACATTGCATTTCTTTCAGCATGATTGTAGGTTTTTTTGGTGCAGCCAGTTGTGCATTTTGTTTGAAATGTACAATTCATATACTATGCTGAGATCGCAAGCAAGAAAACCAAAGAGAATAGCAGTAAAACCAAAATCTAAAGCTCCACTGCGGTCGATATCTGATGGCATGTGTAGTGTGGATTACGAATGGATGGATCGAAGGCACGTGAGGTTTAGATGCAGTCGATATCTGATCAAACTATGTCTTGATAGAGAGAGTCTAAACATAGTTTATAGTTTAGTTTAGATGGTCTAATTATGTTTAAATGAGATTTATATAGTGCAATCTGTTGTGATCTCAATATCCAAACTTATTTAAACCACATCTAAACCCACATTTAGATCATATCTAGTTGAATCTGGACCCTATAGGTGTTTCAATCAGTTTATCTACACTCCAAATCGAGCTCATTCCATCTTTGTCCCGTGGTCATATGATCCACACTCTACAATGTCACCTCCAATTAACAACTAATCTCAGCGAGGAATTACTGTTCAATGTAACAATTTCTAATTAGAAATGAAAAACACAGTAATGAAACAAATGAAGTAGCAAGACTTCGGGTTGGTTTGGTATTGCTGTACTTTGAGAATAAACAGACTTCTGCCCATGTCGACAAGATGCAATCCCATTATCTTACACGAGAAGACAAATTTTGAGTTGACGGTGGCAGAAACAAAAATAAAAATGCACCTACAGTGCTACACAAGATCTAAACTAATCAGTTTCAGATATGATACAGACACAACAATTGTAAGAAGAAACTAGCAAAGGTAGAGCAAGATTTGGCAAAGCTTGGCAGAGGATCTTACAGTGCATAACTGGTTCTATGAACAATAATCTTAATCCTCAAATGAAGGAAAAACCAAAGCAGCTTTGTCGTACATTTTTCATTCGACCTCTTTTTGCTCAAATCCTAAGCCCAGTTCTGCAAGACCCATTTCCCCTTGAAAGATGCTCAGTAATTCAGGCACTTGCTCTTGATATTTGATCACAAACCTATTCAAGAAGTACGACTTTGGGTTCATGATAAATGTACCTAACATAAATTCTCCCTTCGATATCAAGCCCTTCGACAAGAGAATTCTAATAACTGAACACCTTGGGATGATATACTTCTCCAAACTATAAGTTACAACAGTTGGACTTCCAGCCACATCGGCAGGCTGCCAACCCATTTTGTTCACAAGAAAGTCCATTTTACTCGAAAAGTTCTTCTCTGTGAAATCCATAAATAAAGGATTCCTTCTAAATGCCAACATAAAATCATCCTCGGTCCAACCCCACTTCCTATAAAGTTCCATCTTCTGTTCCCATTCTGATGCATCCCGCAGAGCATTCACATGTAGTGCTCTCGTGAATACTTCAGACGAAGGGGAGACCCCCATACTCATGATCTTCTTGACAATTTCCTTAAACTCCTCAGTTTCAAGGAACACTACAGAAAGATATCGGACGACGCACAAGGAGATTAAGGCTTCTGGCACATCAAGTTTTCTCAGAACTGAAATATTGGGAGCAACATTGCTTACCAATTTGGCTGAAAGTATCCACTGAAAGTTCTTAAAGAAACGAGCAACATAGTCCTCGTCTAAGAGATGCAGATTTTTGACGACATTGTAACAAGGTATGATACATTTCTCTAGGCTTCTTTTCAATATGTCCGGGTTGAAGCAGATAACCTCAGCAAGGCCAGTGCCTGAAAGGCCAATGGAACCCAAAAACTCAAGTTTGGGCAAAAGGGTCTTCTCAGGATTGAATAGTAGCAGGTGTGGGCGTTTCTTAACAAGTTGAGAAATGTGGGTTTTATCGAATCCATGATCTTCAAGAAGATTAAGAACGGAATTGGGTCCTTCCGGGGTATCAAAATGAACCTTCTTGGACGCAGAAAGAGCATGTTTTGGGGACAACCCACATGAATTTGTAAGGTAAGACACTGTAAAATCCCCACCTTCTTCTCCTAGTTTAACCTTTTCAGCAACTAGCAATGATTTCGATGAGTATGGTCTGATCAAAATAGTTTCTTTTCGGATAAATTTCAAACGGGTCACTGAATCACCAACAATTTTACAACTTAGAAGCACTAATTGCAATCTTTTAAAACAATAACGAATCATAACTTGGAGCAAAACAATACAATCAGACAGAAATGCAGTTCTTGTTCTTGTAGCGGAAGAGAGAACAAGGGACTCACCAAATACCAACAACGGTTTCTCTGCTCAGTATCGAGACGCCAGCAATTACTTTTTCATGAAGTGCTACCTCCACCAATTTGGGGTTTAGGGTTTTCCTCCGCCGCTCACAAGTCACAACCCAACTGACGGAAGGATTTTGGGTTTTTCATTTTAGTACCTGGCGGGAGGAAAAGTTTTAGGAAAATTTTATTTAAACTCATTTATCTTATTTTTATACTTAGTTTATCATTTTTAATTGAGAAAATTAGAATCTTAGGTATCTTTTTAATACTCTTTAGATCAAACATTGGTTCCATTTTAAGATTCCCTCCCACTTTCCATACATTCCTATCCTCTCTTATTTTATGCGGTCATAGTTAAGTTATGTCAATATTTTATATTGATTTTTTTAAAGATAATAAGACAAAAAATAATAATAATATAAAATGTTGACGTGGCTTAACTATGACCACACAAATAGGAGGGGATGAGAGTGTATAGGAAGTGGGAGGGTAGAGAAGCCATGTTCTTAAACAATAGCCACGTCAGCATTTTTATATTTACTTAAACTACATGTCATTATTGTATTTAAAAAAAAAATTAAAATGCTAATTATTGAATTCCAAATATATGCTTCTAGGCTGATATTTCTTTGTACGTGACCTTTATTTTAGGAAGTAGTTTCTGGTTTGTTGAATTTGATGAGAACGTGGATTTCTCTCCCACATTTGATTTTGTGATCTCCCATTTTTGAATCTTGAATGGGTTTATCCAATTCAATTGATGGTTGTTTTCACAATTTTATCTTGTTATCATTTGAGATAATTAGACGTATGTGTGATTTGCTATTTACTCTTTGCTTCCGGCAGCTTAATGTTGGTACGTTGTGCTATTTACTCTTTGTTTTCGGTGGCTTAATGCTGGTACGTTGAGCAGGTTTCATCAAGATTCTTTACTGCTTTAGGTTTTATCAAGAGGCACGTTGATCCATCTTCTTAGTCTTTTAGTAGTTTATGTGAATACATAATTGCTCTAAATTACATAAGGAAAAGCTACGTTTTTTTGCCTACTAAAGCTATATGATCATCTGCAAATTTTAATTTGTGGGGAGGGTTTTTTATGGCTAATTATATTAACATCTCATAAATTGTTGAATAAATCCCACAAACTTAATACACCCAACATTTGCTTTTTCACTTAAAAATTATCTTAATACACCCACTTACTTTCCCATAATACCCCCACACCCCACACCCCACATTCTCAATATACATCTTATATTTTGTACATACACCCCACATTTTCTTACACCCCACATTTTCTTTACACCCCACATTTCTCAAATCTTATAACACTCATTTTTAATTTTCAGGGATTGAATCTAACCATATGAACACTAAAAGATGAATATGAATATAGAAGTTTAAATAATGCAGCAAACGCAAGATTAAATAATTATTGATGTCATTGAAATCACTAAAACAATGAAAACTATGAAGTCTTACCTCATGTGAAGCTCCTAAAACATCGATTTCGTGTTCCATTCGTCAAAAACAATTTTTCTTAATTAACATGTTTGATAGTTGAGAAGATAAATAATACGCTAAAAGTGATTTGGGATGTATTTATAAATCTTTATTTTTTTTTAAACCTAATAAGATCAAAATTGTCATTACATAGTAGAGTAAATAAGTCATTTAATATTAAATTTTAATGTGGGGTGTATTCAATATTTTGTGAGGAGTTAATATAAAAACCCGTTTTTTATTCGGCAATTTTTCGGGGGACATATTTTTTGAATTTTGAAATTCAAAGATAAAGATGATATGTACCTCATTAGTCTTCCAAATTGCAAATACAGATGATATGTATCCCATTAATTTTCAGGTTTTGTTTCTAGTTGGAATGGCGTTGGAACGTTGGAATCCCTCCTGGCGTTGGAACGTTGGAAAAAGAAAAAAGAAAAAATGGCAAAAAAGTTGGAGGAAGTCAAAGAGCGTGAATTTATTAATTTTAAAAGCGTAAATTTATGAAAATGCCCTACAGGCAAGGACTTTGACTTCTATTGATCATCGCCTAGAGAGACGTATGACTTATTCTTTTAGCATATGCTCGTAGTACTCGTTGGTACGAATGTGTAGGTGAAAACTGTTTGCGAGTCCGGATAGTTACGGATATTTTAAATTGGTTATTCAAAGTTTAGTTTTAATAAATTGAATTCCCATCGAGTGGGAAAGAAGCCCAATCAGCTTTCAGCAAGGAAATAAGGAACCAATCATATTATTTCTTTTAAGGACCAATCAGACAAGGGGAGAAAGAAAAATGACCAATGCGAAGAGGAGAGAGAAGCATCACTCCCCATTTCATTAGCCCGTGCACACCACACAACCCAGTTTGACCTCTCATTTTCCAAGGTCAATTTCGGCCAACTCCAATGGAATTTTTTGATGCCACCACCACCATCTTGAAGCTCTCATTCCCTTTTACAAAACCCACCCAAGAACCACCTTGATTAACCATAGTATGTAGCGGTTTGAGGCCACAAAAGTCGACGAAAATCAACAGTGCTCAGGCCACTCTTTTCAATATTCCGGCGAATCGGCAAAGCGATGACCGATGCCACCACTTGGGCTTTGTAGCCCATCATCCCAGGAGAAAATCCCAACCAACCTTGACCCCGTTGAACCACCGTAGACGACGAATCGATGCCGGGAAGCTTTAGACACCCGCCTGCTTTGTGGAAAACATTGACCACCTTTCGTCCACTTTTGGATTTTGTGGTAGGTATGAAAGTTGTTCCTCTCTTCGAGATCTTCATTTCTATGAAGTTTGAAATTTTTTAGAAATAGTTGGATTTTTGGGCGAGTCGGGGCGGCCGACCGCCGTATGCGGCGGCGTGTGAGCCGAGTCACCCCCTGACATTTCTAAGCTAAGTTTGACACCCCAATTCCATAGGTGAAGTCTGATTGATGAAATCTCATCATTTGAACATAGTTTTGATAAAGACCGCTACTTGAACATTGTGTGAATTGACGATCCAACCGTTGGATCGTCACCAAACTTTAATAAATTATGGTATGTAATATTTAAGGATTTTAGAAACTTACGGATTGGGAATCTGACGTATGGATCTTCGCGAATTGGATTTGTAAGTTCGTAAAATAAAACGTTTACCGCCACTTAAATTGGCAATTGGCGGAGATCCAATCGTTGGATTGTAATGAAACTTTAGTATAATATTTTAGAAGTATAATGTGAATCTATGGAAGTTACGTAATTGAAATCCGAGGTGCGGATCCCCCAGATCGAGTTATGTAGGGTTATGGACCCTACTGTCGACCTTTGATCGACGGATGACTTTTGGTCAATAAGTTACAAATCATTCTAGAATGTTGTTGAGGATATGTTTTATGTAAGTTACGTGTTCTATCGATAGAAACTTTGAGACATGATTTGATAATTGTTCTAGGTGAGGATTGTTCTTGACATCTCAATGTTCATGCTAAGGAGTTGTAGCGCGGACCTCAGGTGAGTGGGTCTTTTCCTTTTATCGTGTGTGTGTATATATATATATATATCTATGTGATTGATAATTCCACAAATGCTTTTAAATTGATTTATCCATATTATGCCCTGTCATATATATTTATATATTCTAAAATTCTATGTTATGGCTAAATTTTAGATTACATTATAGCATATCTATATGTATATTATGTACACATAATTACAGTGAATGCTTTGAAGTACTAAGTTGAACTATGAATGGCTTGATCTCGTTTGAGGGTACGTAGGCAGTCTAACAAGATAGTTAGATGCAGCCATAAAACAATCCGAATTTAACATGGTACTTGATTTCTTAAAGAAATAAGTTATGAGGGTTAACAACGAAGAGATTAACCTTGATTTTATTCTGGCCTATCATTGGGTATAGTTCCGATTAAGAATGTTGGGACGTTAAAGTGGTTATGCCAAATGACGTTGTGGATGCCAGGTAAGCTTCAGGTGAGTACATATTGATGATAGTGATTGCAATGTGTATGGTTATGTTTATATGCATTTAATGCTCATTATCTTGCACCTCAGTGTTAGTGCTCCGCCTGAGGACAGGGCCTAGCCTTCACGCGATCATTCACTTCCTGCACAACACGCTCACTTTGGATCTAAGATAGGTGCTAGCCCGTCGTACATACCACATTAGGTGGTTCCAACTCGTAGGTGACTTGCGATACTTCGCACAACCTTCACATGAACGTAGCACTTGAGTGTATTTATTTACACCTAGCATGTCGTACTGACCACTTTAGGTGGTTTCAACTCGTGTGCAAGAATTGATTGATGAGATATTGGTAAGTCGTATAGGTCACTATAGGTGACTCCGACTTACGTGCTAGCATTGATTGATGAGATATGGGTAAGTTGTACATAGGTGACTCCGACTTATCTGCTAACATTAATTGATGAGTTATGGGTGCAGTCGTACAGGTCATATTAGGTGACTCCGACTTGTGTGCTAGTATAGATTATTGAGTACATGATTATTTATATTGTTGATGAGATGCTGTGTCGTGGTATATTTATGGAATTACTGTTGATATACTTTTGATTTCACATGGATACGTGGTATGATTTTCTGGAAACTATACAGGTGTTGTAGCGAGGGGTAATATAGTTTAGAAGGTTTCTATTAAAATTTTATTTCCAAGGCCACTCAACCTTGTTTTATTTTTACCCTCCAGGTTTATTAGCTAAGCTTTCTTATGGACGATGATTCGTGGCAAATCTTAGTATTGGAGATTTCTTTCGATGGTATGAGTCTCAACCCACCATACGGTACTTATTTATGCTCTAATGTCACGTGTGAAGTGGGTTCATTCCCTCTCATTAGCGCACTCTGGTTCTTAGGCACTCTTAGGTTTAAATTTATTTACATTTTTCCATATCATCCCTTTATGGCTTCGTCACCTTCCAGGTGTCGACCAGCACAACTCGATTCGGAGTCCTAGTGGACATCTCGGGTCGGGGTGTGTCAGTTTGGTATTAGAGTATAAGTTTGAGGCAGTATTGCATTCATCACACACGTGATGTAAACATTCTTGGTTCTTGAACCTAAGTGTCAAACCTTGCCACCTCTTTGAGCACGAAACACGTGTAACTTTTACTCAAGTTTTGAGTACTTTA